CTTGGCTATTCGCGGTATAAAATAACATTGCCCCAGCCACAGAAAGCAGTATGGCCAGCACATCGAGGGCGTACCTTAAACGTTGAAGCGAAGAGGTTCAGTGTGTCGAGGATGATAAGACCGGCTTCTGTGGACAGGTTGGCCTCCAAAAGAGCCTTGTATTCTAAAATTGAAGAGAAAAAAATAAGCATCCACTAGAAGAAGAACTGGAATTTTTACCCCAAGTATTTTCATAAACTCAAAATAAGATAAAGCAGCCACATTTATAGCAGCTTTTAGTAGTTTATTATCTGATTCACCCACGGAGAGCATCAGAAAGCAACGAGAGAAAGAGGTTCGTTCTCTAAACGACTGCACAGTGCAGAGATACAAATATGGATAGAGGGACCAACCTGAATCGTCTGTGACGGGCTCGCCTGCAACAGTGCTTGACCGTGGGGATCCTAGCGTGCCCGTGAGACCGCGTTGGGCGACAGCGCTGGTGCTGATTGTACTAAAGAGAGACGAATAAAGTCAGTGTGCATTTGAAATCATCTACAGTGGTCAGGAGGTAAAAAAACAGCCATCGAATTGTAGTCATACATGTTACTTAAACTAATTAAGTAGCCTTTTTACAGTCATTAAATTTACACATTCGGAGGTGTTCAGAGCATCTAGAAAAATGTTCCAAAGACGAAATTTCGATTACTGTCGCCTAACCACTATTTCGCTTCCACCTGCCTCTCCATTGTCTGGACATGAAAACATCATCAGCGCGTAATTTGAATGACTTTTTTGTTAAATTCATGGAAAATTGGGGTTAAGGTTTGGATTAAAACAACTTTAGGGTTAGGGTTAGGAATAGGAGTGGGGCTATGAGTAAAGTTGATGATAGGATTACGGTTAAGGTTTGGGTTAATATTACCAAGATGATATTTTCAACCACTGGAATTTATTGCACAACAACCTTTACTATGGGGAGGGGAGACGGTCCGATCGGGCGACCAACGGCTGCCAAAAGCGTTTGAAAACGAACAGAAAGGCAGGGGCCCTCGTGGAAGGCAAGGCTAACTTACTTAAACCGCGATATGCATTTCCGCCCACGGTACTTCAGATGCTTCACAACGTACCTGATAGGAGAGAGAAAAAGAGAGATTGAAAGAAGAAGATACATAGTCAAAAATAACCCCACGACGGGGGCGCGAGCGGGCTTAATAAACGATCCCAGGGAAATTTATGAGATGAACCAGAAGCCATTCTGCAGTTTGCACACTGGATGTTAAGGGTGTAGGCCTGCTCACAAATGCCGACCCACATGAAATAACAAGTCGTATGCAGGCGAGACGTGAAGCCCAGCGATCAAAAAATAAAAGCACATTTAGGGTACATTGGTCGCAAACGGTTGATTGTACTCTCCTTAGTCAAGGGTTGCCCTAAGAAACAAAAGTAAACGAAACTTTGAGTAAACTAGCTAGCTGTTGTGCGATTAACTACTTGTCCTACCCTGGGTGCTAACACAGCGACGGGGATAAGTTGCCCAGGTCGTCACACCGACGGTGTGAGTTGGGTCTGTGGGGCGGCCAATGGGTTTGACAAGTCCTTGGGCTGTTAACCAGACCAAAAGCTCAAAGTGACGCCTCTGGTACGGCGTGGGCCTGCACCTATCCGTGCTACCAACGCCCTCCCACCTCATTTTTTATATGGGACTACCGTGTCCGGCACGCTAAATCCGGTCGCGTCCATCAGCCAATCAGGTCGCTGCGGA